AAAAAAAAAGAGGAAGAGAAAGAGAGAAAGAGAGAGGGGAGAGAGGGAAAGAAAGAGGGAGAGAAGAGGCAGGAGAGGGGAGAGAGAAGGGAGGAGGGAGAGGAGGGAGAGGGGATAGGGCAGAGAGGCATAAGGATGAGGGAAGAGAGGAGGGAGAGAGAAAGGAGGAGAGGAGGGAGGAGGGAGGGAGAGGGAGGATGAGCAGGAAGGCAAGAGCGTGAACGTTCGAGGAAGTCCTAGGCGAAAGCGCCGTTCCTGAAGGAAGTCTCGGGCGGGAGCCCACGACGGGCGGGCGATCCCCTGACCGGCGGGTCGGGCGGGTGGGACATTCAAGCGGGATCCCTGAGTATGGCGAGAGCGCGATTCCTAAGTAAACTGTGACGGCGTCCTTGGCGCAGCGTGTTTCCTGAGCGTCGAAAGCGCGATTTCTGCATAAATTGCATGGAAGTCAAAGGCGAGAGCGCAATTCCTGAATAAAATGTGAAAGGTTCTCTGGCGGGAGCGGGGGTCTTGATTAAATTGCGAGGAAGTCTTGATTCAATTGCGAAGAAGTCTCAAGCGGGAGCGGCGTTCCTGAGTAAATTGCGAGGAAGTCTCAGATGGGAGCGGGGGTCCTGATTAAATTGCGAGGAAGTCACAGGCGGGAGCACCGATCCTGAGTATATTGTGAGGAAGTCTCGGGCGGGAACGGGGGTCCTGAGTAAATTTGGAGGAAGCCTCAAGCGGGAGCCGTTGTGGTTGTTGTTGTAAACTGGGGGGCCAGGTGGCCAGTTCAAGCAGGAAGACTTTCCCTGTCAAAAAACAGGGTGCGAACGTCGAGGGGCACACTTTGATTGAGAAAAACAGAATGCACCGGTGAGGAGTGGTCAACAATATTTTTTCTTCGAGAATGAGAATTCAACCAAATTAACAACAGCAGCAGCAGCAACAACAACAACAGCAAAAACAACAGCAACAACAGCAACACATAATACACGGCGCCTCCAAGTCCAGAGCATGCGAGGGCGCCCCACGACCACTTTGCGCACATGGCATGCGTAGCGCTCCTGGGCGACCTGCTGAAACTCGGGTGGTACTTATCGAAACGGCTTATGGGCTGAGTGGGTAGCTTGACCCCTCCCCCTACCCCCGACCCCTGGATCTGGACGGGGCCCCCCGCGCTTATTTGGAGCATGCATCTTGGCATCGGCTAGAATGCAAAAATCATTGATTTCACTTCGATTCCAGGCTTTGCTCATAGTTTGGCCTCCGTGAGCGGCAAGGCTAATCGATACCTCTACTTCTTTGACCGATCTCCTCCCAGATGGCCCCAAGATGGTCCACAAGGATCCCAACAGTGGCCCAAGAGGGCCCCGAGAGGCGCCCAGAAGGCCCCAAGAGGCCCCAAGAGGCCCCCAAGGGGCCCCCAAGAGGCTTCAAAGAGAACCACGAGAGGCCCCAAGGGGCTCCCCCGAGGCACCCAAGACGCTCCAAGAGGCTCCCGTTGCCGCCAAGAGGCCCCCAAGACGCCCCAAGACGCCCCCATGACGCTCTCAAGAGACATCCGAATAGACTCCGAGAGGCATCCAAGAGGCCTCTGATCATTCTGCTCGCCCTCTCCTCCAACTCTTCCTCTTCTTCACCCGCCTGTTCCTCTTCCTCCCTCCTCCCGTCACTCCCTCCCCCTCCCCCTCCTCCTCCTCCTCCTCCTCCTCCTCCTCCTCCTCCTCCTCCTCCTTCCTCCTCCTCCTCCTCATCCTCTCCTCCTCCTCCTCCTCCTCCCTCCTCCTCCTCCTCCACCTTCTCCTCCGCCTCCTCCTCCCCCTCCGCCTCCTCCTCCTCCACCCACCTCTCCTCCTCCTCCTCCTCCTCCTCGTCATCATCATCAGCATCACCACCACCACACCATCATCATCCATCATCATCATCATCATCATCATCATCATCATCATCATCATCATCATCATCATCATCATCATCATCATCATCATCATCATCATCATCATCATCATCACCATCATCATCATCATCCATCATATCATTATCAGCATCATCATCATCATCATCATATCATCATCAGCAGCAGCATCATCAACATCATCATCAGCATCATCAGCAGCAGCAGCATCAGCATCAGCATCAGCAGCAGCAGCATCATCATCATCAGCATCATCATCATCATCAGCATCATCATCATCATCATCATCATCATCATCATCAGCATCATCATCATCATCATCATCATCGTCGTCAAGATCAACATCATCATCATCATCATCATCATCAGCAGCATCAGGATCATCATCATCATCATCAGCATCATCATCATCATCGTCAAGATCAACATCATCATCATCATCAGCAGCAGCAGCATCAGGATCATCATCCTCATCATCATCATCAGCAGCAGCAGCATCAGCATCAGCATCAGCATCAGCATCATCATCATCATCATCATCAAGATCAACAGCATCCTCATCATTATCAACAGCATCAGGATCATAATCCTCATCATCAGCATCATCATCAGCAGCATCATCAGCATCAGCATCAGCATCATCAGCAGCATCAGCATCAGCAGCATCATCACCATAGTCAGAATCATCATCATCATCATCATCATCATCATCAGCATCATCATCATCAGCATCATCATCATCAGCAGCAGCATCAGCAGCAGCATCATCATCCGATTCTTCATCCAGCCTACTGCAGGATTGCCGCGCTGGCATCTTTTCCCGGAAAAGGCGCGGGCCCAGGGTTCTCTATTAGTAGGTTTACCCCCGGAATCGACTTGAGGTGGGTCGGCGAATTTCTTCTGCGATAAATGACAAGGGATGCAGCATCAGCATCAGCATCAGCATCATCATAATCAGCATCAGCATCATCATCACCATAGTCAGAATCATCATCAGCATCATCATCATCATCAGCAGCAGCATCATCAGCAGCAGCATCGTCATCATCGTCATCATCGTCATCATTATCATCCTCCTCATCATCAGCATCATCATCCGATTCCTCCTCCAGCCTTCCCCTCTTAGGGTATGACGGCTTCCCCAGCCCTTTATTGCACTGCATGCTCGTCCACATCCCTAATTAAGGCAACTCGCCTTGGCATCGTTTCTGGATGGGCGGCTGGGGTTCCGCGAAGCGTCTGGAAGAGCCTACTGCTTGGATTCCACGTTGACTGCTGGCTTAGATAGTACACTCGCAGAATTAAGAACACTGGTAATCGTACCTTGCACGCTGGGGTGCAATAACCTACTGCAGGATTGCCGCGCTGGCATCTTTTCCCGGAAAAGGCGCGGGCCCAGGGTTCTCTATTAGTAGGTTTACCCCCGGAATCGACTTGAGGTGGGTCGGCGAATTTCTTCTGCGATAAATGACAAGGATCATCATCAGCATCATCATCATCATCAGCAGCAGCAGCATCATCAGCAGCAGCATCGTCATCATCGTCATCATCGTCATCATTATCATCCTCCTCATCATCAGCATCATCATCCGATTCCTCCTCCAGCCTTCCCCTCTTAGGGTATGACGGCTTCCCCAGCCCTTTATTACACTGCATGCTCGTCCACATCCCTAATTAAGGCAACTCGACTGGGCATCGTATCTGGATGGGCGGCTGGGGTTCCGCGAAGCGTCTGGAAGAGCCTACTGCTTGGATTCCACGTTGACTGCTGGCTCAGATAGTACACTCACAGAATTAAGAACACTGGTAATCGTACCTTGCACGCTGGGGTGCAATAACCTACTGCGGGATTGACGCGCTGGCATCGTTTCCCGGAAAAGGCGCGGGCCCAGGGTTCTCTATTAGTAGGTTTACCCCCGGAATCGACTTGAGGTGGGTCGGCGAATTTCTGTTGCGATAAATAACAAGGGAAGGGTGGGCCGAAGAATTCAAAGATTGAGGATGTCCAGAGCGAAACGCTTGTTTCGATGAAACTGTTGAGGATGTCTCGAGCGAAACGCTTGTTTTGTGTTATAGTTTGTCCTCTCCTGGGGACCAGAATTCAGAGGATCCCTCAAGTGAAATGCTTGTTTTCACGTGCCCAGATCTTGAGGATGTCTCGACGCTTGGTTTCACGCGTCCAGGTTGCCCAGGCAAATGTCTAGCATGAGGACTTGTTGAGGATGTCTCGAGCGAGACGCTTGTCTTCACGCGTCCAGGTCGCCCAGGCGGATGTCTAGCATGAGGATGTGTTGAGGAAGTCTCGATCAAGACGCTTGTTTGCACGTGTCCAGGTTGCCGAGGCGAATGTCTAGCATGAGGATTTGTTGAGAATGTATTGAGCGAAACGCTTGTTGTCACGTGTCCAGGTCGCCCAGGCGCAGCACAGCCCTCGGCACGGTACATCAAGATCGATACACTCAGCATTGCAACCTGGCACGTTCCCTGGCACGTTCCGTGGCGCGTCCCGTGGCGAGTCCCCATGGCACGTCGCGCGGCGCGTCCCCCGGCACGTCCCGTGGCACGTGCATTGGCATGTTCCGTAGCGCGTCCCCTTGGCACCTCCCGCGGTGCGTCCCCATGGCACGTCCCCTGGCGCGTCGCCTGGCGCGTCCCTTGGGACGTTCCGCGGCGCGTCCTCCTGGCATGTCCCCCTGTCAAGCAGCTCTGGGGCAGCTAATTACGATGTGCTTAGGCAGCTCGAGCTTAAGATCCAGATCAGTTCGGTCAGGACTCGGATGCAAAGGAGGACTCGATCGACAACGCTATAAAGAACAATCGCGGCATGGCACATCGCAATTCAGCACGGCGCAGCACAGCACAGCCCTCGGCACGGTACATCAAGATCGATACACTCAGCATTGCATTTGCCCGTCGCCCAATCTGGTGTTTTTGAAACGCTGCCATGCCTTACATTTCTAGTCCTTTCCAGGTTCGTGGGTAGATCATGTTTCCAAAGTTTGCAATGGTTGATTTGGCCTGGTGACTGGCGGCCCTAGGCTCCAGAACGGTCCAATAGTTGGGGGCACCTTGAGACCAGGGGCACTTCTGTCAGCACCCGAGCAGCACGACTGCCGTGAACTGGTGTATCACATGAACTGGGCGCGTGCTACATCAACATTGCCTGCGGATGAAGAAAACCAGGAACGACGGCATACTGCAATGACCCTTTGGGCGCCCCATCTCTATCTTAGACTGACAGAGCTGCCAAGTTCATCGAATCAAATGGGACTCCATCACGCGGCACCTGTGCCAGACCTGTTGGCAACGGCTGCAGATCTCACCAACCTTGCGAATCTTGTCCATCGGTCCAGGCCCTCTGGAAATTGCTGCTCCGCCACTGCAGAGCCCTGGCTCATCTTGCGAATCTCCATCAGCAGAGCAAAGTAGTTCTGCTCCAGCATCACCTCCAGCTGCTTCGCCATCCCGCCAACTCCGTGCTGCATGCCATCGAAGCTCGAGGTCCTGTCGGCGGCGGTTCTCGACGAATGGTTCGTCCACTGCGCTGGCGACCAGTCGGCATTCTCCTCCACGACCTCCGCTTGCCCAGACCCGCCTGGCGTCGGCGGCAATGCGGACGCTATGGTAGAAATGGCATCCAGCATCTGGCTGCAGTCCACCTGCACCTTGCAGTCTTCCATGCTCCTGCGGATGGAAGCATCGAGCTCGGCAGAAAACTCCCACGATTGCTGGCAGAATGATGTCATCTGCTCGCGCAGCTGCTCACTGCCCTCTGCGAAGGCTTCAATCCTGGAGAACAGCTCGTCAAGGTGGTCAAATTTTGACAGGAGCTGCGCTTTCACGGCACTCATCTCCTCGTGATTATGGCATTTGGCAACGGCCTCCGCCAACTGGGTGGAATCAATACCTACAGTGCAATCCTCGATACTCTTGCAAATTGAGTGGTTGAGCTGGACCAATTGCTCCGTTGACTGGCACACGAGTGCCTCACCCACCTGGGCGAAGCCCTCGCGGATCTTTGCCCCTTCTTCGCGGAGGTCCCGCTGAAACCGAGCCACGAGGGACTGCGACATGGTCGACAGCGACCTCTGCATCTCGGCCGCCACTTCCTGCACAACGGTGGTCACAACCGTACTCCTGCGGGAGGACGCCAGCCATGCGCCAACACCAGTCCTGGCCCTGGCTTGTGCTGTTCCCATCGTACTTAAGGACCACATCCCGGCAATAATTTCGAGCACCCAGAGAAGTATCGAAACAGTGTCGAACGGGTATCGCCTCCCAGGGCCCGACACGTGAAAGCCCTCCAGTTTCGGTACTCTCTTGGTGCTCGCAACTCTGTCTGGTGATCAAGGCTAAGGTTAAGTCGGGCGTGTCCCCCTACAGGGAGATTTTCGACGAAAAACAAAAGAATATTCAAAAAATGCTCCAAGATGGTCGCAAAGACTCTAAACATAGTCCCCAAACTATTTTTTGACTATTTTTGAATTTTCCTCCTGTATAGGGACAGGCCCGACTTAAGGCTAACGTAGGCTCGGGAGCGGCCCAGAGGGGGGTGTCCAAGAGGGGGGGGTGCAGATCATGGCCAGGGACACGTGCGCGGCCCAGCGGGGGGGCCAGGGACGTGATGAAACAAGAAGAGGCGCCATGAAATCTGGGGAAATATCATGGCCTACGCCATGATATTCACCCCCCCCTATCGGGTTGGGCGAAAGGGGGGGATAGCAAAGGGGGGGTGTTTGAGAATCAGCTCACGTAGCTGATTTTCCCAGCGCCCACCGGCGCCGGAGGCGGCTATGTATCGAGGAATGGGCCCCTCGGTGAGGCCGAAACCAGCTGCATGCAGCAAATTTCGTAACCCCCCCTTTCCCAATCCCCCCCTTTCGCCCGGCCCGACCCTAGTCATCACCCCCCTCTTTTCCGCCCCCGATAGGCTGGAGCATCCTAAGCCCCAGCCCGGGCCCAGGATCGGTGCGGCACGCCACCCCTGCGCGGGCCCACGGGAAATCGGGGCCGGTGCGCCCTCCCGGCCCCCCGGCCAGGAGGGCGCCGGGAAGCCTGGCCAGGACGGGTGGTGCACGGGAGGCCTCCTGGATGGGGTCCGAGCAGATTCGGGGTAGGGTTAAGTCGGGCCTGTCCTCCCACAGGGGAAATGTTCGAAAAGAATCAAAAAATAGTCTGGGAACGATGTTTTGACAATTTGTTGGGGTATTTTGGTGCATTTTTGGACTATTTTCTATTCTTCGTCCAAAATCCCCCTGTAGGGGGACAGGCCCGACTGAAGGGTAGGGGTAGAGGGGAAGGCTTCTTAGAAGGGGGCTGCTTCTTAGAAGGCGCCGGCCTTGCGTCTGTAGACGAGGCTCGCGCCTGCTAAGGAGCAGGAGTGCTTCGAAGAAGCCTTTCCCCCCTCCCCGTACCTCGGGGATGGACAGACCCCCCTTTAGTAAAACGTGGTTTAGTGAAAACGACCTGAAGCCCAAACCTGGTGGGCGCAAGCCTGAAAAATAACGGCCACGGCGCCCTCTCGAGAACCGAAAACGGACAATTCACTAATCGACGTGTCACTGTTGGGGGTTCTGTCCACCCCCGAGTACCACCCTCCGCGCGTGCCCGACCCTAGATGGGGTCCGAGCAGATGGGATCGGAGGCTCGCGCCGCACCGCCACTGCAGTGGCGATGCATCGCCGATGCATCAGCGGTGCAGAGGAGGAGGAGGAGGAGGAGGAGGAGGAGGAGGAGGAGGAGGAGGAGGAGGAGGAGGAGGAGGAGGAGGAGGGGAGGGAGGGAGGGAGGTCGGCGACTTCGGCGCTGCGTCAGCGACGCTGGCGTGGAGAAGATCGGGCTCCACCTCGGGCCGCATCGCCGGTGCACCGCCGCTGCGGCGCGACCCTCCGGCCCCGTCTGCTCGGGCCCCGCCCAGGAGGCCCAGCGTCGGAGGCTTGGACATGGGCACCAACACCAACACAGGGGGGCTGCCTCCACAAGGGGAAAATGGTCCTGGATTCTGGTGTTGGCAGTAGTCTGGCCGGGACCGTCCCGGGGCCCTGGCGTCACCTCTCCCCCGCCTGGAGGGCGCCCGCGCGCCAGCCCGAACGAACAGCTCGGGCCCTCAAACCCGAAACGCCCCGAGCCTGGCCGCACCAGGCAGTAATCTTCCGGCCACCTAGGAAACCACCGTAGGGGTATAAACTTTCCAGCCGCCCAGGGACAGGCGCCCCCGACAGCGAAAAAGTTTATTTTACACCTTTCTTCGCCCGTTAAATCACCGAGGTGGGGATCATCCTCCCTCAGTGGAGGCACGCCGCCGATGCTGGTGCCGGTGTCCACCTTAAGGGCGCTCTGGCAGGTGCACGGCGGGCGCCCTGAGAGCTCCTGACCTCGGCCCTCACCTCCGCCACCATGGCGGCCGCGACATCGCCCGCCACCCGGGCCTGCTCGGGGATCCTCCTGACCCGGGTCACTCCAGACCCGGGTCAGCAGGGAACCAAACAGCTGCAACGCAGAAAAAAAAAAAAAAAAAAAAAAAAAAAAAAAAAAAAAAAAAAAAAAAAAAACCATCGCAGGTCTTCGCAAACCCGGGTCAGCCAGTGTGCGCGGCCGCCTCGCGGCCACGAACGGCTCGCTGACCCAGGTCAGCCTCAGAGGGGGTCCTCGCAGGATCCTGCAGGATCCAGCGCCCTGGCTGACCCCCGTTTGCACCGACCCCCGTCTCTCGGCTACACGCAAGAGTGACCCTGGGTAAGAGGGACCTTTGGTGCGCGGCTTTTTGGGGGCCGCGGGGGGACCAAACCCGGGCGCGCAAGCCGCTGCTCCTGCTTCGCTTCCAGCCATCTGGGGACCCATCCGTGCCCGCACCAAATGTCACTCCGGCGAAAGCTCGCTCTTACGTCTAGTCGAGTGTCTGAGGCCCCGACCTGCAGGGGCCAGCGCCACTCCAGGAGGAGGAGGAGGAGGAGGAGGAGGAGGAGGAGGAGGAGGAGGAGGAGGAGGAGGCCCCGACCTGCAGGGGCCAGCGCCCCTCCGGCGCCGCGCGGCCGCGGCAGCCGCCGCCGCCCGCCGACGCCGGCCGCCAGGGCAGGCCGCGCCGCTCCGCGAGCGAGGCGCCCGACATCCCCGGGGGGCGGCCGCCGCGGGCGGATCCGCGGGCGGCCGCGGGCCGCCGAGGGCCCGTGGCCCTACAGGTGGGCCGTTGACCTAAGGAACCCTAATTTTTGTTTTCCCCCTCAAGGGGGCTATACCTCAAGGGGGCTATACCTCAAGGGGCTATACCTCAAGGGTGCTATACCGCTTCCCCTCAAGGGGGCTATACCGCTTCCCCTCAAGGGGGCTATACCCGTGCGGCAAGGCACCTAAGGAGCCCTAAAGAAGGAACGAGGCCCCTTTTTTTCCATAGGTTGAACTTCGATTTCCGATCGAAGACATAATCAGAAGGACAGCCTGAGGCAGGCTGCGAAACAATCAAGGAACGCGGAGCCCCTCCCCAACGAAAAGGGTTCCTTGTGTAGCGCCCCGACTGTAGACCGATGACCCTCAGAACATGTGCTGGCATCAAGTCGGGCCTGTCCCCCTACAGGCCGATCTTGGACGACACATTAGAACACCCACAAAAAAAGATCCTAAAAATGCTCCAAAACGGTTTAAAGATAGTCCCTGGACCATTTTCACTATTTTTGAGCATGCTCCATGTAGAGGGGCAGGCCCGACTCAATGCTAGCCCCAACGTGTCTTTGTCCACTGAGGCCCTCCAATACGACGCCGTCGGCTCCACGAGGGCCGACGCAGGCTGCTCGCCCTCGGCGGAGACGAGCCGGGTGGGCACACGCTTGTCGGGTCGGGCGAAAGGGGGGGATAGCAAAGGGGGGGGTTGAGAATCAGCTCACGTAGCTGATTTTCCCGGCGCCTCCCGGCGCCGGAGGCGGCTATGTATCGAGGAATGGGCCCCTCGGTGAGGCCGAAACCAGCTGCATGCAGCAAATTTCGTACCCCCCCCTTTTCCAATCCCCCCCCTTCGCCCGGCCCGACACGAGGGCCGACGCAGGCTGCTCGCCATCGGCGGCGACGAGCCGCGTGGGCACACGCTTCGGCCGTGGACAAACCTCCCTTTAGTAGACCTCCCCTTAGTGAAAACGGCCTGGGACCGAAACCGACGGACCTGGACCCGCAAAAATGACGGCCGCGACGTTCTGTCGCGAACCGAACACGGCCAATGCCTTAATCGACGTGTCAGGGTAGGAGGTCTGTCCACCCCTGGACGCTTGGGGCCCAGCGCACGCCCTGAGGATCCTCGACGGGAGGCCCCCCGACCTGCGCCCCCCAACGGGGCGGGGGCGCCGGCGGCGGGAGGCCCCGGGCTCGGCCCCGAGGGCTGCGGCGGCTGCGGCGCGGCACTGAAAGAGTCCCCGCGGGGGAAAAAAACAAACAAAAACAAAAAAAAAAAAAAGGCCACGAATCCTACTGCAGCAGCAGGGGTGAAGAGGCGAGGCAGGGGCGAGGGCAGCGGGGCCGGGGGCGAGAGAGCGCGACCAGGAGCGAGCGTGTGTGCGCCTCGGTGCGTCTTTTACCAGAAGTCGTGGCTGTCGGGACCAGGCACGCAGCTGGCCTTGAGGAACAGCACGGCCAAGGGCACCTTAGCCAGTTCTTGGCATGTGATCGTGGCCGCCTGGACCAAACGTGCAGCACGCATTGAAGCGATGAATTATGAGGGAGTCTCAGGCGAAACGGCTACTGGAGCAAACGTGCTAGGGCTCCCTGTCCCCCATGTGGCACTCTTCTGTGGTCTTGTTTCGCCACTATCAGAGACCTCTAGCGAAACGCTACTCTATAATACAATTCTCGGACGGGGGGAGGCTTGCCGGCCCCGAGACCGTCAAGAAAGGACCCGGGATGAAAAGCCACTCTCCGGGACCGGGAAGGGGCCCGGACCTCTGGGGAAGCACGCTGCGGAAAAACTGCGACGCCGGATGTCTGGGCAAGAGGAGGAAGAGCTGGAGCGTGAGAGAGGAGGTGGTGGACGGAGGGAAAGCGTCGAGGCGGACAGGGAACTCCGAACGGCACCGGGCGCAACCAGGGGCTGGATGGACTTCCAGGCACCCAGGCGCTGCCTGTCCCGTGGTGCGGCCGCGTGCTGCTTTGGGGCTCAGAGCCCGAGACGGAGAGATGCGCTGGCTGGGAGACATCCACTAGAGAGCAGAAAATCCGCCCTCGTAACCAATCACCCCGGCACGCGAAGTCGCTTCGTGAGCGCACCAGAAAAAGGCATGGAACAGGGCAGAGCTGTCTGGCCAACCGCCCAGGGCCGTGCAGCAAACGCCCAGGGTCGGGCGCGGGCGATCCACGGCTGATCAACAGCCGATCAGCAGCAGCCCGCGACGGAGAAACGCACTGGCCGGGAGGCACCCGCAGCGGCCCCCGCACGCAAAGGTGGCTCCACGGCGCCGGGCGGCGCCTCGCCCGCTGGCCGTGGCGCAGCACTCGCGGCTCCGGCCACAGCCCGTGGCGCACCGCGCCCCGCGGGGGGGCGGCCGCCGCCGCAGGGCGCGGAGGCGCCCTTGGCCTCGGGCCGCCCCGCGGGGGGGGCGAGGCGCGCCGCAGAGGTGGGCCCCGCCTCGACGAGCGCGCCGCCCACTCGGGCCCCTCCTCCTCCTCCTCCTCCTCCTCCTCCTCCTCCTCCTCCTCCTCCTCCTCCTCCTCCTCCTACTCCCTGCGCGCCGCCTCGGACCGCGGGACGTGCGACGTTATGTTGTATCTTGGGGGGGCCTGGTCTGCCCCGTCGCGGCCCTATCCGCGTCGAATACGTGTCGAATCCATGTCAGGCTCGTCGGATCCGTGTCGGATCCGTGTCGAATCCGCGCCGAGTTCACGCCGGATCCGCGTCGAGTCCGCATCGGGCCCGCGTCGAGTCCGCATCGGGCCCGCGTCGGGCACAAGAAAGGACACCGATTTGGGGGACGGTCTCGGCCAGAACTGTCCTGAGAGCATTCCGTGCAGACCGCAACAAGTTCTTAGAACATTCTCTGGTGGGCCCTCAGGCGAGCCAGGACGCCTCGCCAGTGCTCGACGGAAGGTGGGCCGCGGGACGCGCGGCGGGCCGGACGCGCGGCTCCGGTCGGGGGCAGCGCGGCACGCCTCGGTACGGCCCGCCCCCGACGAGGGCGGCGACCGCGCGCCCCGTCAGCCAGGCTCACCCGAAGACCGAGCATGAGCATGAGTATGGCCACTTGACGGGGTCAGAGCATGCCCACACCACGTGACGAACTACACACGAAGTCAGATTGCAAACGACCTCTACTACGCTTCTCAGCTGAAAACCTTGGGCCACTCTCCGCGGGAAATCCCGTCGAGACATTCAGCCCGAGTCGGAGTGCTCGTCGACGGGCCGCCACGCTTGGAACAGCCTGGAACGCCGTGAGCACCTGCCCCCGCAGCTCGTCGACGGGCCGCCACGCGAGGGACAGCCTCCACGGCCAAGAGGCTGCTGGTCAATTCGCGACCTCAGAGGGTGAAGCATGTAGCCTCGCAGACCCCCGAGCGAAGCTACCGAGCAGCGCTGGGAGAACAGCATGACCTCACAGCGCCTCCGCTGCTCGTCCACCAAGACTCCCCCTGCCCCCTCCAACGCCCCGCCGATGCTTGCTGGTGTGAGAAGCAGGGCCGAGGTCGGATCCCCCGCCGCCTGCCGTGGGCGAGCTCGCTGCTTCAGCACCGCTGCGCCGCCGAGGCAGACCTGCCCTGCCGTCGGCGTGATCTGCGCGCGGACCAGGAGACGTTGACGCAAGCCTGAACCACAGTGACCTGCGACCACGACGTGGGGGTCCTGCTGCCGGCCTCTGCGCCGCTACCACGACGCAAAGCCCAACGCCATGCAGAGGGCAAGCGATCCCGCAGCGCACGCCCGACGCCACGAGGAGGCGCCGCATGTACTGGGCGTGACGCATGTCAGGGCTGGGCAGGCCCACGAGGCGGGACGCATGGACCGGGCGCGCCTTCAAGGCTCAGGAGACGCCGCTGCACTCTGGGTGGGACGCGTGCGCTGGGCGGGCCCACGAGGTCTTGGCCATCGGCCCCGCGCGCAGGACCCGCGCCTGCCGGAGACCCAGGGCGAGAGTCGTTGGAGGCTTGGAAATGGGCACCAACACGGGGGCTGCGTCCACCAGCGGAGGATGATCTCAGATTTTGGTGCTGGTGGTAATTTTTCGGCCACCTAGAAATCTCAAATATTACCACCATCACCGGCATTAGGATCATCTTCCCTCGGTCGCGGCACACCGCCAGTATTGGTTTTGGTGCCAATCTCTAGGCCTCCGAAAGTCTGAGCGGGCCAGCACTCCTGGCGGCTGAGGAGCCTCGCAAGGGCCCCGTTCTTCGCTGGGCGGAGTCGGGCCCAATGCTCGCCGCAGGGGGCCCGCGGAGCCGCACCGACGCAGCCACGAAGCTGCTGCTCGCCGCGCCCTGCAGCTCAGCGATGGCTTCTGACCGAGAGCGGCGCGAGGCTTCTCGCCGATTCGTGCAGCTGATCGCAGCTTCTCGCCGATAGCGGCGCGGAAGCTGTTTGAGTGGTAGGTGAGCTCGCCCTCAGTCAGAAGACGCGCGCTGGGCGTCGAGCGAAGTCGGCAGGCTTTTGCACCGGCTCCTCGTGGGAAGCACTCATCTTGGGCTCATGGAGAACGTGACTCGAGCCAGCGTGGCCATGCAAGGGGGATGGGAGGGAGAGGAAGGGGTGGAGGAGGAGGAGGAGGAGGCGGAGGAAGACGAAGAAGAAGAAGGAGAAGAAGAAGAAGGAGAAGAAGAAGAAGAAGTTGAGGAGTAGCAGGGGGGGCAGCAGGAGCAGGGATGCGCCGACGGACCGTTGGAGGAACCATGACAAGATTGACAGGGCAGGCGAGAAAGGACAGGGCAATGGCCTGACAGGACGAGCAGAATGGACAGGTTGTGCAAGATGGACTGGACGGGCAGAAGGGTTAAGACAAAGAAGGCTTCAACGACAGACGAGACAGACAAGACCGACAGAAGGAACAGGGCAGGCAGACCGTGCAGAACAGACAGGACGTCCAGAACAAACAGAACTGTCAGGAGGGACAGGACTGACACGGACAACGGCAGAACAAACAGAACAGCCAGAGCGGATATGACAGACAAAGCAACACGGCAATAGGCCAGACTGGATCAGACACAAGGAGACGAGGCGAGCGGCATGCGGAAAACCCGCGACCGTGCATAGTTTCCGTTAGATTTTGAATCCGCCACCGTACCCGCTGGCACGTTGAGGCGTGGTAGAATAGCACGGGCTGTCTGGTAGGGCTTCCGTATAGGGAATCGAACTCTATACACCGACGCTTCTTCCAGCCTTGAATTGGAAATTGCACTGGAGATCGGATCCTGGTGTGTGCGGGACCCTGGTGTATATATATATATATATATATATATATATTAATATGATAATTCAATATATATTTGTCGCCTGCCTTCCCACGGCCCGATCTATCGACGGCCGAAAACAAGTATACACCACACCACCCCGGCGTCGTCCTCGACCCTCAAGAAGTCCTGGGATTCAAAAAAACAGCCCGCCACTGGTAATGGATGTGTTCCAACTTCCGATCCGTAACCTTCCAAAAGATCCCCCCCTCGAGTAGCGTACCCTCCCGTGAATCCCCCCTCCCTTCCAGAAAATACGATCCCTTGCACAAAAAAAACGGGTCCGCGCTCCGGAGGCCACGATCCCTCGTAGAAAACGACGGGCCTGCGTCCGAGTTCTCCGAGACGCCACAGGCAGGCAGCCAAAGCAGCCAAGATGGCCCAAGATGCCTCGAAAATGGCCCAAGATGGCATTAAGACGGCCCAGCATGGATTCAAGACGGTCTCAAGACGGCCCCTGATGCCTCCAAGAGGGCCTAAAAGTAGCACCCCCAACAGGGTCCGAAGGCGCCACAATCATTGAGTTCTTCATGGCTTTACAACAAAATGAGCATGCTCCCCTTTTCGGCGTCCGTCAGCTCAAGACGGTCCAGGAAGCCTCCAAGATGGCACCAAGACTGCCCCTTCAGAGGGTCCCAAAGTGCATCCAAGACGGCACAAGAGGGAGTCCGGAGGGACCCAAGACGGCCTCAAAAGGCCCTTCGACGCCCCAAAACGGCGCCAAGACGGCCCCACGACAGGCCCCCGACACGCCCCGTACGGCCAAGAGGGCCCGAAGACGGGGCAAGAGATCCCCAAGACAACCTAAGAGGGCCCCAAGACGGCTTAAGAGGGCCCCAAGAGGGCCCCAAGGGACCCCTAAGACTGCCCCGCAGGAGGCCAAGACAGCTCCGAGACGACCCACATGAGTTCCATGAGAGCTCCTCGAGAAGTGAATACGAAAGGTGTCAGGTGTCACGGCC